TATCAATATTTGCAATCTAGGTGATTAGGTTACATGATGATATTCCTTTTTATGTAAATGCAGTTGGGTGTTGTGTGGTTCATTGTTTCACTGTTACACTGATAAATGTAAAGCAGAGCTATATTTTGGGTCCATTTAAGGAATCTTTGAAATCAGTATTTGACTTAATCTGACAGGATGGGCTAGATTAGAGTGTCACCATCACTTAGTGGACCATAGTGGAGCTCATTGAAAATATTGGCATGCATGCTAGTAATATCCGCCTAACAAAGCCTCTCTGTCAACAAGGTTTACGAATCGCTTTTGTTATACACTGTACCTGCGCCATCGTACGCTTTTATCACAGCATATCAAAAATACCAGAATGACTGGCGAATTACATCTGAATTAGATGTTGTCATTCTTCTTTATTGTTGTAGAAGTGTTTCCTCCATGAACTCTGCGAAATGGGGTTACCTATCCCATCACATCAGAGCTCAAATGGAGACATATAAACATATAATCAAAACCCTGAATAAAGGCTGGCGCGCAATGCATAAAAACAGTCAGCTGCTTATTGCAAGTGTAGCGGAGCCAAGCAGATGGCTTGGCCTCTTCTGGAAACACCAAATAGGAACATTCCAGTATATTTATGACCTGTTACACAAACTCCCTGGAGCACACACACAAAGTCTTTCTTTTTGCTTTGTTATATGGTCATGTTATCTTCAAGATGGTTTTTTGACAGCACAGCGCAATTTGCCTGATGTTTCCAGAATGGACATGAAATTTATTTGCGGCGCTTTTATTAGATTTTTTTAATAGCTATCAAATTAGCAGTGTTGAGGAAACTACTTTGGAACTGCAACTTGTTAAGATGCTCATAAAGTAGTTAAACTACAGCCAAGCTACACTTAGAGTAATAGTAATGCTAGTTAACTAAAAATAATCAAAATTTTGAGAGAAAAAAAAAAAATCTTTCTGGAAGTATAATTGTCAGATGGTACTGCTTATTTCTGCAGTTAGCCCATTCATCTGGGATAAGACTCCAGAACTAACTAATAAAACTAGAAAATGCGTTTATATAACAGAGCCGAATACATTGTTTAAATAAATATTTTGGTTTTAAATGAATTGGTGAATCATTTAAATGAATCAGTGAATTGTTTGTTTAAATCAGTGAATTGTTTAAATAAATCAGTGAATCGTTTATTTAATCAGTGAATCGTTTATTTACATGAACCATGTGAATGAACTGATTCACCAAATTAAAACCGATTTCCCAATGCAACATACGAGAGAGAGGACAAAGTTCACTCTGCTGATGAAAAAAACAGCAATGGAGCCAGTTGTCATGCTACACCGCCGCTTATTGGTAAATCTGCACTGTTTTGAAACAGCTGATGTGCTGTGGTCAAGTTAGTAGCATGCTGTTTTTAGTTATTTACACCCTAACGGTGCAATAGAATCAAGGACCTATTGTGTTTTTGTTAGCCTCAAGACCTGATTTCTGTTTGCGTTTGCAGAAATGTGTGATTATAACAAATATTGGGTACAACAGTGGATGAAATAGTAGTAGACTTCGCCTCTTCGTCGCCTACACTCTGTCAACATGTCTCGTGATTCTCATGTCCAAGAGAAAAGAAAACCTTGGGAACCTTCTGAAAAGACAGATAATCGCTCAAACCAGTTGCTCCTTTACTAGCAGTATGTCACCAGATTAACCTAATCTCCAAACCTTTGTATGGCAGTTATTAGCAAAGTTGTACTAGTATCTGCAACGGGAGCCAGAAGACTGCGGCTTTCCTCTGGTACTTCCACACAGAGACTCCACTGTGCTCAGGACAGCTCATCCAGAAGAACGATCAGGTTCTAGTGGCGCAGCGGCTTGGCCTGCTTTCTCCAAGCCTTGTTCAACGTCACCTTGCTTCAGCGAACACGCTCTGAAAGCTCCAAAGCACCTTGGTGCCGCTTTCCTGGCACATGTAGATGGCTTGTCATATTCCATAAGCCCCCATAATAACTCTTCAATTACCTTCCTGTATTCGCTCTGAAAGCTCCAAAGCACCTTGGTGCCGCTTTCCTGGCACATGTAGATGGCTTGTCATATTCCATAAGCCCCCATAATAACTCTTCAATTACCTTCCTGTATTGTGGGTCTTGGGCAATGCTCTGTGGTGTCAAGGGGGGGGCCGAGGGAGGTCTTTCCACAACGCTGTGTTATTACTCATTTAAAGACATTGGTGTTGGCATAGTCTGTGGTACATCTGTTCTGCAGGGCAGAGGCGCAGCTTTTCCCTTTTTTTTGATCAAGTCAAGATGGTTAACGGTAACCGATCCCAGCTGCCAGTGCGCAATACACTGGCGGCGGCCACGTAAACAGGAAAACTCGCGCTCTGACGCTCGTTGGGGCCGAGCGACCGCAGCATCTAGGCCTGTTGGTGTGACACTTCTCAGAAATGAAAACGGCTCGAATGCTCTTTTAATTTATTTATTCCTTCCTTTTAGTGCTTTGTGTTCCTGCGGGTTTCCATGCCACAGCAAATGTAGGAGACAAAAGGATAATGAGAAAAATCCCAGAGCTCAAACACAAACATACTGCCTTTCATTTGCAGCACAGCTTGATCTGTGGAGATCAGTCCTGCTCTCTTTTGTTGTCATTTATAATAAGCTAGACCGCTTTTGGCTTTTAAGATAAAACTCTTAAACACTTTGAGGAAGAGGTCTTTGATTCTACTTGTGGCCTGATAATATTAGTCGGTATTTCATTTTATCTTTTTAATATACAGTATTTTCCTAATTAAAATATATTAAAATATAGTTGCATTTTCAAATTTATATGAATTAAAATTTAAATATATACAATCAGACTGTGATCTGATTTCATCAGTCATACATAATGCCATTTTATTATATTTTATTTTGTTTTGTTTTGTTTTGACCCATTCCTAATTATACACTCTTAAAAATAAAGGTGCTTAAAAGGTTATTCACAGCGATGCCACAGAAGAACCATTTTTGGTTCCACAAAGGACCATTCAGTCAAAGGTTCTTTAAAGAATGATCTCTTTCTTACCTTTTTATAATCTGAAGTAGAGGTCGACCCCAATCGGTCGGCCGATTAATCGGCCGATTTTTGGCATTTTTTAAATTAATTGGCATCGGCTGATTGTGCTGCAAATTAGGCCGATTTATAGGCAGGCGCCACTGCGGGCAGCTAAGCGTTGCGGAACTCCCTCTGAGGCTGCATGAGACAGAGCAGCTCACACTCTGGCTTGTTCACACACAGCTTCAGCTAATGGCAGGGCAAAACAGACCGTTTCGAAAGTGGAATTTACGTTTTACCCGACTAGAATTGATGCCGGAAAGTTATCATATTCATAAGTGCAACAAGTCATTTGCATGTGAAAGTAGAAACACACACAATTCAGATGAAACTTCTGGGCTGATTATAACGTGCACGTTAACTTTCCTCATGAAATGTGTGTGTGGGTCTGACAATAGCATCCACGATGTCATCGCTTGTGGCCAGCGCACTCTTAAGCAGTTATGAGCAGCAGGCTGTGTAATATGTGTGAAATCTTTTATTTTTATCACTATGGCCATTTGACTTATAGCAGTGTCCAGTGTTTCCTATACATTGAGTTATTTGTCACAATATCAAAACTGACCGCCACAAATAGATTTTCCAAAAGGCTTATACTTCGTTGAATAAAAATACAGCGCAGGTGTTTTTATATGAATGTATCTTTAAAAAGAACCGACTGTCTTCAGAAAAGCTTTGATGTCATTTTCATTTCGTCTTTCCTGTAATGCCTGATAAAGTAGCTTTGTGAGCGCAGCGCTGATTTGATTACAGCCGTTACCGGGGAAACCGCTATATCTCCAGCTCCCAAAGCGCCTCCTGCTGGCAGAGAATTAATTTGCAGTCTGTGGGAAACACTGGTGTCTGTCAGCAAACATAAACAAAAAGCATGCTTCAGAACTGTTTTGAGAAGGTGCTTAAGTTTTGAGCCATGTATTATTACTCTAAATTGGGCTACTACTACTATTACTCATCTTGTACCCTGCAATAATCATTTGCTCAAACTCACTTTTATGAGACAAGAAAATCGGCCAAACATATCAGCCAAAAAATCGGCATCATATATCGGCCATCGGCTGCCCTTTTTTCTAAATATCGGCATCGGCCAGTGAAAAACCCATATCGGTCCACCTCTAATCTGAAGAAGCTTCTTTTGCCACAAAGAACCTTTTCTGAAACAGAAAGGTTCTTCAGATATTAAAGGTTCTTTATGGAACCATTTAGACAAAAAGGTTCTTCTATGGCATCATGAAGCACCTTTATTTTTAAGAGTGTATACAACACTTATTATTTTGTAAAATATGCCTGATTTTCAGATTAAAATCACCAGGACAGTATCAGTACAGCATCAGGTTGGATAAAAAATTACGTAGAAATTGTGTTTTTTGGACATGGTGTAGTAATTTTTCATTTTTTTAAATCTTTTTTTTATTTTGTTTAAAAATATACACAGTTAACTTAATAATTGTACTATATTTATTTGAGGTTTAGTACAAGTTTTTAGTTTGTATTTAATTTTTTATTTAATTTTGTTTTATTTTGACCCATTCCTAATTCAATACATAGCTTATACATTAAAATATCACAGATTTTCAGATTAAAATAACTTTAAATGCACAATAGGCATGTGATCTGATTTCATCAAACATAATGCAACATTATAACATTTTTATTTGATCTTTGTTTGATCCTTTTATTGTGTTTTTAATATGTGAAAATTAAATTTTTATATACATAAAAATAATATGTGAAATATTATGCATTATTTCATAATGTGCATTCTGCAAATCTTTTGCCAATGCTAATTCCTAAAAGGTTGCTATACCATTAATTGTCAAAGACACACAAGTTCCTCTCTCCTCATGTTTCCTGTATCCATCCACCACAATGTCCATCTGTAAATGTCTGACTGAAATCTGTTGGTGTGTCCTTGCAGGCAAATGAAAGACCAAAGCAAGAAGGTTGCCAACCTGAAGCACAAAGAGCAGGTGGAGAAGAACAAGAACGCTCAGTTGATGGAAGAAGCTCGTAAGCGAGAGGATAACATGAACGAGAGCTCTCAACAGATCAAGGTAAAGTCCACATGACATTTATTTACTTTATTCACAGTTATGTACAGTTCTTGAGTCCGTTCCGGATCAGACTTTACTCATATAATGTTGCCTAATTGAAATGCAGGATAAATCCCTGTGCCTTGCAATGGATTTCAAGCAAGGGTTTTACACACAAAACCACTGAAATCTGACTAGAGCAGTGGCTGTTATAGCCTTAACATTGAAACTTAACCCATAATGAGGCCCATCAACCTTTTAAGAGGGTCAAAGTCCCCCCAAAACCATGATTTATTCACAAAAGCTCAATCTTTTGTGCAGCGTTTAAAGGTTTTTCTTTTGCGCTGCCTAGAAATGTGTCTCCTCAGAGCGATCCGTCTTCTGATTATATAAGTTTGGATCTCAGCTCCGGTTCCTCATTTGAGAATTGCTGGGATTCTTCTCAGGTAAAGAGCGAGCTCATGTTTCCCTCATCCAGACCGCATTCACGCACATCCTGACCTCGTGTCCTCCTCTCATTGTGAGCTTTGGATTTTGGGAAAAGAGAAAAGGAGAGAATAATTGGACGATGAAATAAGACACAGTTGTTCAGTGCAACCGCAGGAACTATTTTTGAATTTATGGCTCCGCGATATTTAAGCAGAAGCATCGGCATCGGTATCCAGGTATCGGCGTGTTTAGTTTGAACTGATTTGCAAATACAAACTACCTCATCCAGGCTGATGTAACTTTCATCATATTGACTGTTTTTGCACCGATTTGACAGGATGGTGGTCTGTGGTGGCCGCTCCCGCCCTTCTAGAGTGAGGGTTTGAATAGAAAGCTAGAATCAGCAGTTAATGTCTGTGAGAATCTCAGCGCAAAAAGTCCCACTTTTTATGGAGGGGCTGTTTTTCCTCTTTGCCGTAGACCTCTGGACAACAATGCCACAGCGGCCTTCCCTTTGTTGTGGTTTTCGGTGTTTTTCCTGGCCGTCAGTTTGTTCGTTCGATCATTCTCCGTTTTCACATTTTCCTTGTACTGTGTCATGTGTTCTTTGTTTTCGTTCGAGTTCATATGCTCTTTTTCTGACAGCAGGATTGATGTGCTATTGGACCTCGACCTGTGGTACCCGGCGACTGGTGCGTCGGTGTGTGCGTGTGCACAAATACGTGTTGCGGTCAAAGAGAGCTCATTTATGACTTCAGGGCCCCAGCATCCTCCGTGGGGTCATGTTGCCGCAAGCCCACATTGTGGCTTGTGCTCCCCCTTTCGAAGCACCCTGATGCGGCTGCATCGCGGGCCTCGTCTGGAAGCGGCGACAGCTGCTTCCTTCAGCCAAGACCTTCAACCACCACCTTCCCCCACAGGCACGTCACGATCCGGCCTTGAGGCCCTGAGACTCCAGATCAGGCGAACCCCGAGCTGTCTCCACACTCTATTGAACGTGTTTGGAAGGGAAACCGATTGTTGTAGATGATTTGGTATGGTTACGGTGGTCCCGCTCCAATCGGTTGGTCAGGGTGAGCTGAGAGAGAGGTTAGTCCAGGACACCAGAGCAGTCGTCTCTCTCTGACCCAGCACTAAAAATGGCTTTTTCAATCAATGAAGAAGGTTTCCATTGGAGCCCTGAGTGGGACGTGGGGTGGTCGGTTGTGGTTGAGCACCAGAGCTGCACAAACACATTCAGAATAGCAACTGTTGACATTGGAGAAGGTTAGATGGTCAGAAAGGAAGGACTCTTGCTTCTATTTTTTATTTTTTTTGAGTTTCCTGCTGGTGACGTTGTGCTGCTTTCACATGATTTGATCCAATCAGTCCTCTAGTGGTGCTTTCTTAGGCAAGCATCGCTGTAACTTCCAACAAACACGTAGACCTTACCTTTGGTGTGTAATGCGTGCTATTGACATGATTCATACCTCAAATTGGGCTTGAACTGAATTGGCCTTAACACGCAGGAAGTTGAACTGAAATTGGAATGGCAGGAAGTGGAAATGACTAAACTGCAATGCTAAGAAATACAACACAGGTAATGCATTCTGGGAAATTAAGTGGTGTTCAGCAATCTGTTTGTCTGTAAGTCCTATAAAACCTTCAAGACTTAAAAAATAATAAAATGGACCAACTTTCATTCTAAAATTTCTTTAAAATTGTTACATTCTTTTTGAACAATACTTATTAGGGTTGTATGAATTTTTGAGAATTTAAATTCAAATTCAACTCTTTTTTCTTTTTTCTTTTTTGCAACCTCATTTGAAATTTAATTCAAATTCAATAATGGATTTGGAATGAAAAACACTGTGAAACAATTTTTTATAAATGTTTTGTTTTGCTTTTATTTTTAATGTTTCTTTATAAAGTTTGATATGCTAAATATGAAAATCACATACATTTTTGTGAGTCATTAACAGTGCTCATGAAAAAAGACTGTAGAAGCTAATCTGTTATTACTCATGCATAAAAATTACATGGTACATGCATAATACTGCGCTAACAACAACAGTTTAACATAAACAGTTACCAAAAATGAGTCGTCCAAAACTTTGTAAGTGAGCATTGGATGATTTTTGCCTTTTATGACTAGTCCCACTGTGTTCTGGAATGTTCCAGAAATCACAAGAGTTTTTCAGAATGTTACAGAAACTTCTATAATATTTCCATCCTTGCAAAAGCAAAAAAAAAACAAACAAAAAAAACATGCAAAATTAGTACAAAACCCATCTGTAATAAACCAGTGTTTCATAATTAATGATAGTTAAAATTTCTAAAATTTACCTGACCTAAATATTTACTAAAATATTGATGCTACAATAATAATAATCAGCCCCACAGAATTTAATTAAATTTTTTTTTTTACATTATTTAATCATTTTGAATTCATTTCTGAATTGCTCATTGGTAACCAACCCCGACCCTAACCTTGGGCCTACTAACAACTACCAAAAAAACCCTAGAAACCAAATAATACACCAGATAGCAACGTGCTATTCACTACTTTGCTAAATCTTGGTAGTGACTTTTTAATGGGCAAGTATCAAAATGGTCAACGTCTAGTTAATTAAGATTAGCTGTTAGTTTCCATAAGATGAACAAATGGGGCGCAGACTGCATGTGCAGAGAATTGCAATGCAAGAGAAGGTCTTTGATCAACGGCCCTCAAGAGCGTGACTTTAACCTCTTGTGAATCATCCCTATCCTTTTTCATTTATCTCTCTAGTCTGATAAAACTGGAGATGGGTTTTTATAGGCGTCCACATCTCTTCAGCATTTGAGACTTTTTCCGCCGGATACAGAGTTCCCAGACGTGCAATACGTACTGAATCATCAAGATGTACCCCCACCCCCACCTCTCCCGCTGATCAAATATCATCAGCCTGAAGAAATCAAGACTTTCGCTGGGAAGCAGGATGGAGAGAGACAGCGGGGGAGAAAAGATGACATTATAATGAAGCCCAGTAAATACCTGTTTTACTGCGTGGTTGAGTCTGTTCCCTTTTACTGCACAGAGTGCAATGCCAAATGCTCTGACTCCCAGCATGCCCTATGACCAGAAGGCCCCACTGTATCCCAATCTCCACCTTGACCGGCCTTCATCAAAGACAGATACAATGGAAAAATTGAAAGAGAGAGTTGGAAAGAAAATAGAAAGGTCAAAGAATGGAAAGGTACATCCAGTCAGCATGCTTCAGTTCAGAAAGGGTGAACATATTCTGCCACGTACTTTGTGCAATCATCAAAGCAAGCTCAGAAATGGGTTTCCCCCACAGGTGCAATGTGTGCACTATTCCAGAGAAGCCATTAGACTGACGCCGGAGCGCCGCACATTACGAATAGCAGTTGTAAGCCATAGGTCTTCTGTTTATAAGTCTCACAGCCCCTTTTATGTTTAGCACAATGTGCTCTCGTGTGGTTGTAAACATCAGCACTCAAATGCAGAGAGCTTAGAGTGACACCTTTAGTGTGCAATTGTGGAACAGTATTTTATGACATTTGTCGAGTTAGGGATCATGCTGCTAAGTGCTCTTACAAGCACTGGTGGTCTTTTTTTATTCTGCATGTAAGTTTGTGCACGGTTAAGAAAGACTGAATATATATGCACCACAGGTTGGTTTATCTTCATGCTTTTTATTTTATTATTATTATTATTATTATTTATTAATTTTTTTTTAACAGCAGGGGATTTCTAAATGTCTGTCAGAAAAAAATCTAGAGAAAAATCTAGTGAAACTAGTCAACCTCAGTAATTAACCATTCTTGACCCATCCTTAACTAACACATTATATAAAGATTTATGTAACAGGTACACCTCTGCAATCATGCAGCCTCTCGTTGGTCTTTCTCCTTGTGTTCACATTTGCAGGCAAATGAAAAGATCTGACAGGTGATGGCGACACACTGGAGTTAATAAAGCCAAAGTGCTGCAGGCAAATCGCAGGTTTATGGTCCTTTTTAAACACGCAGATATAAAAGAGTCAAACAGGAGCCTTTTATGACTCGCTGGCCTGCCCACGCTGCTTTTATTGAGGGGGAACATATTACTGTCCCTGGGGGGAGGCCTTTTTTCATCCTAAATGTCATTTTCTCAACCTGCCATAACAGACTGGTTGCAGTGCAACATCCAGGATCCATTAGGAAGCTATAGTTGGCACAGGACAGTCTTAGGAAATGGGATTCAGTGGGATGGGTGAGCATACCTGGTTTGTTAGTTTTAGCTGGTGCTCTGTTTTGTTCTTTTTTCTTTGAGGTTTTTGTTTGGGCTTTTTTGTTTTGTTTTGGGTCTTGTTTTGTGTTTTTTGTCGTTTTCAGTTTTTTTATTATTAGTTTTGGGTATTTTTGTTTTGTTCTTTTTTTACATTTTGTTTTAGTCTTGTGTTGCTTTAAGGTTTTTGTTTGGCTTTTTTTTTTTTGGAGGGGGTATTTTTGTTTTGTTTTGTGTCTTCATTTGTTTCTTTGGCTTTTTTGTTCTGTTATGTGTTTTGGAGACATTAACCAGCTAAAACCTGCAAGCCTGGCTGTTTTTTTCAGCAGGGAACTGTTATGTT